AACAACCCAATAGCTGGGTCAAAACAACCCAACCGCTGGGTCAAAACAACCCAACCGCTGGGTCAAAACAACCCAATAGCTGGGTCAAAACAACCCAATAGCTGGATTTGTCCCTTTTTAACCCAGCGCTGGGTTATATTTAACCCAGCATTTTTTAAAGTGTAAAGATGGCTTAATGGTTAAATAGTCATTGCTACCTAAAAATGGTAACATCTAAAATAACTGGTGTTATTTAAGTCAAAAATATTATTTAACGTCATTGAACCAACCTATATACATCCCTTTATACCAGCACAACTTTTTTAAGGGTCAAATCAGAAAGAAATACACTCTTAAAAATAAAGGTGCTTCACGATGCCATAGAAGAACCTTTCTGTTTCACAAAAGGTTCTTTGTGGCGAAAGAAGGTTCTTCAGATTATAAAAAGGTAAGAAAGATATGGTTCTTTAAAGAACCATATCTTTCTTACCTTTTTATAATCTGAAGAACCTTCTTTCGCCACAAAGAACCTTTTGTGAAACAGAAAGGTTCTTCTATGGCATCGTGAAGCACCTTTATTTTTAAGAGTGTAGCTCTTTAAGGTAATAATTACTGGTCATAATTTGAATGTTCAACAGCAAATCAATGGGAGATTTTCACATTTATGATAGCAGATGTAAAGCTAAAATTATCTGACAAAGTTTGAACTGAGGCTATACAGTACATTAAGCAGTTTGGGCTAAATTAATAGTAGACGTTTAATACTTAACACTGTGCTAGGGGTTTATAACAAGTTGTAAGCAGTACTTCATAAAGAGTGTAAATATATGCTGAATTGTCTTGTTTGGTCAAATGAATTTACTCACTCAAACCAACAAATGACAACTGAATGAAGGAAGGTTGAACTCACATGTTAGTGTTGGCAGTAGAGGTCAGCCACTCGCCAGCTAAACCAATGATGTCTAGACCTGAAGACAGCTGGTTAAAAAACCTTGGGTGACCTGCAGAGAAAGGAGGAAAGAAAATGAGACACACACACACACACACCCCACTGTATATGTATGTGTTGAAACATTCATTGACATGGACAGGAAGACCAGTATGGGTCACCTGTGCGGACACCGTATTTGAGCGTGTCCCTGCAGTCCACCAGGATCTGCTCCAGACTCTCCGGCTGATCACACAGCTCTAAGTTGAAGCCCTCCATTCCCTCCAGCAGCTGGTGCGGATGATGGAAGTCCAGCACTTTTGTGGATCTGTCGAAGGTCTTGCGCACATAGTTCGTGAGGATGTCCACCACCTCCAACAGGAACTGCATCGTATACTCCTCACCATTTTTAGCAGGAAGCAGATCTGTGACCAGTTTTGTTACACCGTCTTATCAGTCAATCAAATTGCTGTTTGTTATGACAGTTTCCCTCATTCATATAAAAATATGTAATTTACACATGCTGGTGAAATGTTTGGAATAATTAGGATTTTTCTTTTTTTTTTGTTTTTCATTTTTTTAAAATAAATAAATTAATACTTTAAAATTAGCAAGGATGCATTAAATTGACCAAAAGAGACAGTAAATAGATCATGTTACAAAAGATTTCTATTACGGATAAATGCTGTTCATTTGAACTTTCTATGCATAAAATTAATTTTAAAACATGTGAAAAAAATATGTACAGTTCCCACACACAGCAGCACAACTGTTTTCAACATTGATAATAATCAGAAATGTTTCTTGAGCATCAAATCAGCATATTAGTCTCATATTAGTCATATCAGCATATGATTTCTGAAGGATCATGTGACACTGAAGACTGGAGTAATGATGCTGAAAATTCAGCTTTGATCACAGGAATAAATTATATACACTGTAAAACTGCGTTAAAATGTGCCCCGCTATTATTAATCTATGCTATTCTAAGACATTAGCAATGTAATTTACACTATTTACTTGAATTTTAATGAGAAACGACAAGAAACAGGACAATAAAGACTGACAGTCAATATTAAAATATATTACAGTAGAAAAAAGTTATTTTAAATTGTTATAATATTTCACTATATTTCGTTTTATGGCATTTTTGATCAAATAAATATAGCCCTGTGAGCATAAGAGATTTCCTTCAAAAACATTTAAAAAATCTTAATAATTCGAACAGTACACTCTAAAAAATGCTGGGTTAAATACAACCCAGTGCTGGGTAAAATATGGACAAACCCAGCAATTGGGTTGTTTTGACCCAGCGGTTGGGTTACTACCCAGAAGGTTGGGTTAAACATTTAACCCAACATGAATAGACATACAGACAAAATCTGCTTTACTGTTCAAAACCTTGGAATTAAATTTTTTAACCTTTTTTATTCATTCTAAAACAATTAAATTCATATTAGAATAAATACGTAGCCTATATTAAATAAAGAAGAATCCCATTGCAAATTATATCATACATTATGCAATTTATTAATATTAACAATTTTGCATTAACCACACTCTACAAAATGCTGGGTTAAATACAACCCAGTGCTGGGTAAAATAGGGACAAACCCAGCAATTGGGCTGGTTTTGACCCAGCGGTTGG